AACAAAGTTAATAATTACATAATAACGTTTCCGTATTAGTCAACCTTTTGTATATTATTGACCGCTTTAGAAACAAAAAACCAGGGGGGGCTGGCAACGGCCTTTGATCTTGCCGCTTTTCGGCTTTCCATGATCGCCCCAGTTAAGAAATCTGTCAATCATTCGAGAACTGTAGCGAGCATGCGCGAAACGGGCTGGGCACAACAACAACATCAAGAAGTTCGTCTTCGCAGGGATTCGACAGTGTGAAGTGAATTCGCGTTTGTCCCTGTTGGTCATTGCTTTCTTTGCTGTAACCGATTTTTCCGCAGTAATGTGGAGCTTACGTCTTCCTTTCTTCTGGTCTTGCGTTTGTCATTACATGCGGTTTAGTACGCTAAGAACGAGACCAGTGAACAGTCATTGTACATGTTCCACGATGCCCGACCTTTTGGCTCACTACAGGCTTTCAAGCTGTGTTTCTGTTTAGAAGACCCACAAAACTAGAAGAAGGGCCAACCCTCCAATGCGTATGTAGAAGAGTTTATATTTTCAGGTGAAAGGCCGAAAATAAATCCTTCGTGATATTAAAAAAAGCGCGGTGGCCGTGGTCAAGTAGAAGAGTTGTCAGAGTTGTTTGTGGTTTTATTACAACTTTAAGACGAAAAGGAATGATGATTGAGATTCTTAATTCTTCATCCTTGATTGTGAACTTATCCTGGCAGAGTTGCGTTGGATGATTGAGTGGCATATGGTCAAATCTCGCAGTTCATATATTTTGTTATGTACTAGAAGCTAAATAAATCATTCACTCTTGATATGCTTAAGTTCTTATCTTCGTGTGATCTAATTTAAACTTTACCGTAGTTTCTAAGAAATGAAATAGGCAAATGAAAGAGTAATTATTTTGTGTGTTTGGAATTCTCTTTTCATGACAGCAGTTACTACACTGCCTTCAGTTTCAGTCCTCATTCAATTGTGTTTTGTTTTGTTGCAAACAAAGAGAGAGAAATTATAAATATTTTATTCCAAAAACTACACTACCCACTGGAACAAGAGTATGGTTTAAAAAAGATTAGCTAAGGTCAGAAAATAAATGTTCAAGTTTGCATGTTTTGACAAGGACTACATCTGCCTAAATATGCTTCAAAGGGAATTTATAAAATTAAAAAAATGATGACATTTCTATTTTTGCCTTTCCTTTGGCCACTGTGATCATGTAATGTTTTACACCTTTGGACATCAACCTGCCAGGTTAGTTTGTGTCTGTGTAAAAATGTAGTTTACTGTTAATGAAATCAAAGTAAACCCTCTGAACTTAAAAATTGCCTTGTACTAGTGGATATTGAAAACACCATAGGATGCCTTGGAAAAAATGTAAAATGATTATGAAGATAATATTATTTACAGTCAACAGTAGCAGTTAGAAACTTGTGTTGAGGCTGGCAAAAATATTTTCAGAGACCATAAACCTTCACTGACTTTGCTGTTACAACAAGTGGTAAAAGGGAATTAAAATGTGAGATCACCTCTGTGGGCTTACACTGAAAGAGAGTATGGGTAGTAGGACACATTGGGCATTTCCCTACCCTTTTTAAGCCAGGAGACCTTATTTTATAATCCTGATTCATTTCCTTTAGCATACAGAATTAAGGTAGCTTTTAAACTTAGAAACATGGCAAAACTTGGGGGGATGGTACCAATAGACTGTACTCTATAGACCGCTTCTTCTTCAACCTTCACAACCCAAACAGACACCTTGTTCAAAACTCTAAAGGGTGAAATGGTCACCACCCTAAATCAGCAGCACATACCCATCTAGGCCAAATAAGCCAAGGGTAGTATCGTAGAAAGAACTGCTGAGAGGATAGGGCTCAAGCCCGACAATAACTTCTTTTGATGGTTGATAAAAAATCAATTTTACCTTGTATGATTTAGTTGTAATCAGATTCATAACTTACACAAACAATAAACTTAAGCTGTATATTTTTCAAGCGTCACTCTTCTGATTCTCTTTATAAACTTTGCAAAACATTCAGTTTTCTATTTTCTGTTTCCTGTACTTCAGTCCCTTGAGGGATTTTCTCAACGCATACTCTTTCCTGATGTACTCACTCTTATTAGCAACTGAATTAGCCTCTTGATCTTACACTGCACCACTATAATCATTTCATGTATAATTCATAACTAAAGGGTAATTTTTGTACCAACAATTTCAAGGACATACTTGAAACCGAAGTCACTATACAATACAAAACTACTAAATACGGTATTGCTGTTGGAAATTTATTGATTATCACTCCAATGACATTCCAGCGAAGGTTTTGAAGGTTCGGTAAACCCCTCCCAGCCTTCTGATATCAAAAATAGCTTATACTGACAGACCCAGTATATGTGAAGTGGTTGGAACATTTACCCTGGTTTTTACTAAATTGGCCCCGTATTCTGTATTTACGCCCACAAATATTTGTTGTGCCTCCAGGTGTACACAAACAAACTTACGAACTGCGAAGTAGAAAATCAGTGGTTTAATGAACATTCACACATTTTATCGACCCGACTAACTGCCCCTGGGTCTCCGAGGATGATATGACTGTTGCAAGACTCATACCAATATATTGTGCTCGTATGTTTAAGATAAGGAAGAGAGTCTTAATACCACTGTAAGTGGAAAAATATAAGAGATGGAGCAAGACGGTCGCTCGAAAATTCACGAAGCGTACAAATAACTGAACTTGCCGAGATCCCGAATCACGATGAGTGAATTCACCCATGAACTGTTCATACATCACGCCTCCTGATGTCCAAAAGGTCCATTAAAAAAGTTCATAGAAACCTTTTTTTGATATTTGTACGCGGGAAAACTTAAAATCGAGCAAAAACTCGTCGTCCTTCCATGTCTGCATTCTCCGCCATATTTGTTTTCAAGGAAAATCTGTACTCAGTCTCACTCGGCCGAATTTCTTAACTGGGGCGATCATGTAAACTCGGTTCCAGACCTCGCTGCCAGCCCCCCCTGGATGCAACATTGTTGGTTGTTGAGCTAGGTTCCAACTGGACGCAACATCGTTGGCCAACAACTCCCAACATTGTTGGATATTGTTAAGCCCCGCGGAAACGGACGCAACGTTAACATTGTTGGCCAACAACTCCCAGCATAGTTTGGAGATGTTGCGTCCGTTTGCACGTAGCTTTAGTCCCTCTAATGCACGGGCAAACTTAATACAACTTATCCTGACCTTGCTAAAAATGCTCAAAGGTGGCATGGGGTGGGACTAAGTGGACCTCTTCTAAGATTTTTGATGTCTTTCAATAACTTTGCGTGCTGGGTTCATTCGGAATGTCGCTATCTGGAAAGTTCTGATTAATCCAAATGAAGAAGAAATTAGCTTTATTTGCTTCTAAATATGTTGCAATTTACCATTTACCTTTTTTTTAATGCTTGTACGTTTTTATTGAAAAAAAAATGCATAACTGAAAGAAGAATTTAGCAGAGCCCCTGCGAACGGAAATGCCGCTTAAGTTAGGAAAGAGGGGGAGAGGAGGGGGGGGGGGAATTGGTATTCACCTTCATCATCAGCCCCACTGGGCATTTTTTCTCCTGTGAGTGAAGGACAGAAAACATTCATGAGAAGTTGTCTCACTGCCGGCGTACGCCATGTCATCCAGTGTTCCTATGTCTGTTGACTAGATGTACATACGGTTTAAGGCAGAGAAGGCAAATGCACTGTGCTATGCCTAGTCAGACCATAAACAAGATATAAATGTTAAGAGAGGATAAATATCCTCTCTTGTAAAAGTGCAATAGCTGATTTGGTTTCGCTATTAGAGTTTGTCAATTGAATGCAAAAAGTGCCCTGGAGCCCAATGCGCACAAATTACAGTTCCTGTACTGACTCCAGCGCTCCAAGCTCATTTTTTCAATAAGTCGCCTTTTGGCGACCTTCATTTTTAAAATGGTCGCCAATGGAAAATTTCGGTCGCCAAAATTGTCGTTTCATTAACGCAAGACACTTCATGCTACTTACATGAAGGAGCTACTGCTGAACGTTGTGTACGGAAATAAATCGTGTTTTTAACACTCCATTGTTACTTGCCTGCGGGTTGTAAACGCAGTACAAGATGGCAAAAACAGGCAAAGACATTTATGAGAGGTAACCAGAACAATTTACTACAAAGGCGGATGTTGAAACCCGGAACATGTATTTGCAGTGATATCATTGAAACAAATCTGATCAGATACGATTACGTGAATATACATTTGTTCGTACCGTCTACTTGCTAAGAAACATCTTTCTTTAGCTAAATCATTGGCATTGAAACCACTCACATATGTAAATTAAAACTTGAATCAACAATAACAATAACAATAACAATACTTCTGGCCTAAATAAACTGCACGTCTGGTCGACTGCCACTCTTTCTCGCCTGCCGACGTCAGCATTAAAATAAACAGTGTTTTCTCTGAGTAGGAACACTCCGCATTTGCTTCAGAGAGCTTTTCGTGATTAGCATAGAATTCAGCGTTTAAAAATAGTTCACAAGCAGTCAGAAATCGTAAAGTTCCATTTAGCGACTCATCTCCTTCATTAAAACTGACGCAGAATTATACAAACAATTCCGTCCCCGGAAACTTGAAGAGCCCGTAGACCACGTGGAAGATTTTCATCATCCGGAATCAATGCTGTTCCAAGTGAATCTTCTTCATAGTTGTTGAAGGTTAGTTCCGAGATGCTTTTCTTATGGAGAATTTCCTCGTGTTCTCCCTTTAACTTGATGACTTTTTCGGTTGCTGACGGATCACCGCTTGCGAATAGATCGCGTACTTTTTCAAATATTCTCTCGAAGTCTGTCATTCTTCATTACTATTTCCTCAGCAAGAGCAATAGAAATAAGCACAGCCAGCTACGCGCGAATAAAAAGGTTAGTAGTTCATGTATGACCCCATGAAATGTCCTGAGGTAATGGTGCCATGTCGGGCCTCTAGGCACAGAAAGTAACAAGTGTAGTGAGTGTAATGAATTTAACAAGTGTAGTAAGTGTAGTAACTGTAGTAAGTGTAGTAGCTGTAGTAGCTGTAGTAAGTGTAGCATCTGTAGTAAGCGTAGCAGCTGTAGTAAGTGTAGTATCTGTAGTAGCTGTAGTAAGTGTAGTAGTTGTAGTAAGTGTAGTAAGTGTAGTAGCTGTAGTAGGTGTAGTAAGTGTAGTAGCTGTAGTAGCTGTAGTATCTGTAGTAAGTGTAGTAAATGTAGTAGGTCTAGTAGCTGTAGTAGCTGTAGTAAGTGTAGTAGCTGTAGTAAGTGTAGCAAGTGTAGTAAGTGTAGTAGCTGTAGTAAGTGTAGTAAGTGTAGTAAGTGTAGTATCTGTAGTATCTGTAGTAAGTGTAGTAAGTGTAGTAGCTGTAGTAAGTGTAGTAAGTGTAGTATCTGTAGTAAGTGTAGTAAGTGTAGTATCTGTAGTAAGTGTAGTAAGTGTAGTAGCTGTAGTAAGTGTAGTAAGTGTAGTAGCTGTAGTAAGTGTAGTAAGTGTAGTATCTGTAGTAAGTGTAGTAAGTGTAGTATCTGTAGTATCTGTAGTAAGTGTAGTAGCTGTAGTAAGTGTAGTAAGTGTAGTAGCTGTAGTAAGTGTAGTATCTGTAGTAAGTGTAGTAAGTGTAGTAGCTGTAGTAAGTGTAGTATCTGTAGTAAGTGTAGTAGAAAGTGTAGTATCTGTAGTAAGTGTAGTAGGTGTAGTAAGTGTAGTATCTGTAGTATCTGTAGTAAGTGTAGTAAGTGTAGTAAGTGTAGTAGCTGTAGTAAGTGTAGTAGCTGTAGTAAGTGTAGTAGCTGTAGTAAGTGTAGTAGCTGTAGTAGGTGTAGTAAGTGTAGTAAGTGTAGTAGCTGTAGTAAGTGTAGTAAGTGTAGTAGCTGTAGTAAGTGTAGTAAGTGCAGTAGGTGTAGTAAGTGTAGTAGCTGTAGTATGTGTAGTAGGTGTAGTAGGTGTAGTAGCTGTAGTAAGTGTAGTAGCTGTAGTAAGTGTAGTAGCTGTAGTAAGTGTAGTAGCTGTAGTAAGTGTAGTAAGTGTAGTATCTGTAGTAAGTGTAGTAAGTGTAGTAGCTGTAGTAAGTGTAGTAGCTGTAGTAAGTGTAGTAGGTGTAGTAAGTGTAGTAGCTGTAGTAAGTGTATTAAGTGTAGTAGCTGTAGTAAGTGTAGTAGGTGTAGTAAGTGTAGTAAGTGTCAGTGGCGGATCCAGGCCTTCAGTTAAGGGGGGGGGAGTCATCCAGACCCTGAGATAAGGGGGGGCACTCTTCAAAAAAATTTTTTTGGCCCTTGGGGCCTCATTTTGGTCGAAAAATAACGGGGGGGCATGTAAAGTGCCGAATAGAGTACCGTACCAAAAAGAGTACGACGCATAAATTATGACAAATTATTAAATTCCTGAGTCGATGCGATGACAACTCATGACATGATGAGGACGGAAACCACTCAAATGAGTAAAAAAATTAGACAACCCTAGATGATTGCAAGAATTAAACGCCTTAACTCTTTAAAGTAAGACGTTTTGTTTCTTGTTTCCGTAAATACAGTTCGTGACTGGTTTCAACGAACATCCATCCTATTCCCCTGATTCTTTGTAACGCTTAAAGCGCTACAATGACATTTGATAACATGTTCACCCGCGGTGTGCGTAAGAAGAAATTTAACACGGCATCCAACTAGGCCAAATTTTAACGTCTGTCACACATTCTCTGCTTTATGCCAAACAAAATTAAGGCTATCTCAGAATGCGTAAAATTTTAACTTTTCTGCTACGTGCGTAATACGGCGAAGCGATGTTAAAAAAACTGTACGTTCTCTACCCCTAACATACAGGGTGCCGAATAGAGTACGAGAGAGAAAATGCTGTAACTTCACTTCCCAACCCTGATGTAAAGAAAACTGTACGCTCTTTACCCCTAACATACAGGGTGCCGAATAGAGTACGAGAGAGAAAATGCTGTAACTTAACTTCCCTACCCTGATGTAAAGAAAACTGTACGCTCTTTACCCCTGACATACAGGGTGCCGAATAGAGTACGAGAGAGAAAATGCTGTAAATTAAATTCCCTACCCTGATGTAAGGAAACCTGTACGCTCTCTACCCCTAACATACAGCGTGCCGAATAGAGTACAAGAGAGAAAATGCTGTAAAACTTAACTATTCCTAACCTGATGTAAAGAAAACTGTACGCTATTTACCCCTAACATGATGTGTGCCGAATACAGTACTAGAGAGAAAATGGTGTAACTTAACTTCCCAACCCTGATGTAAGGAAAACTGTACGCTGTTTACCACTAACATACAACGTGCCGAATAGAGTACGAGAGGGATATTGGTCAGAAACAGTGACCACTTATACGGTGACCGCTTCTTGCCAGGTGCCATATCAACAATATCAGCCTGTATCCGTTCATATGGGCCGTTGGAGCGGATAGGGCGTAGTGGAAGGGAAATGGTAGAAAAGGCAGTTTATCTTGGTACACAGGGCACGCTTTTAGAAAATCTCTCGCTGACTGCTTGATGCCATTGCAATGGAAGCGAAGACCAAACTTCCTTACTAAGTTATTTAAGCCAACCACCTTACAGAGTTCAGATGGAGAGAAATGAATCTCGTGTAGTCGTTCCATAGCTCCTTCTTTTGAGATAAAACGCAATCTTCCGTTGTTTCCCAGGCCACTATCCCCAGAGTACTGTATCTACAAAATGCTTTGCTCTTCGTCAGGTTCATTTGAGGGCCTGCGCCTAGGCTTCGTTGTTTTTCCGTTCCAAAAGAACCTGTTTCGGTACTTGGTAAATACGCGCAACACCTGCCACTCATTCGGGCATCATCGCATTTCGATCTCTCAAGAAAGACAATAATTTGACTACTTGGGAAAGAGTTGACCAGGAGACTGAACAAATTGGTCTTAAGAAAGTACCCTACTCGTCGCTATCCCTTGTAAAAAAAAAAACCTGTTCTCAGAGGAGAAATATGCAAGATTTCAAGAAGTTAAAGAAGTAATGCTTGCATGAAAAGTTGTTTAAAGCAGAATTCGGATAAATTCGCCCACAAAATGACCTATACTGAAAAACGGAAGGTAGCTCGTTGTTAGTCTCATACCGGACGATGCGTTACTTGCGAGAGAAAAACATAGGCTGAGAAGAGTCCCGCGAAGGTTCTTGACAAAGTTTTATTCGGGTAGCTCAACTTACAGCACGCAGTGGACATATATCTTATATATGGTACATTTTTTACTATTCGGCACGAAGCTGAATGTGACAAATATCGTTCATTTTTAAGGTTTTCTTCCTGGAAAAAGCTTAACTTTGATCATTCTCTCGTACTTTAATCACTGAGGCACGCAGGAGAAATGTAACACACATCGTACATTTTTCAGGTTTTAATGGTGGAAATCGTAAAGTTTTATCACCCGCTATCTCGTACACTGTTCAGCACGCAGCACTCGTACCCTTTTCGGCACGCAGCAGAAATGTGACAAACATCGTACATTTTTCAGGTTTTAGAAGTGAAAATAGTCAAATGTGATCATTCTTTAGCTCATACTCTATTCGGCACGCAGCAGAAATGTGACATTCATCGCCGCACACTTTTTTGGTTTGCAGAGTGAAATAGTTAACTTTGGTTATTCTCTGTCTCGTACTCTATTCGGCACGCAGCCTAAATGTGACTGACATCGTACGGTTTTTTTTTTTTGGTTTACAGAGTAAAAAAAGTAAAGTTTGATCATTGTTTATCTGATACTTATCCGGCACGCAGCAGAAATGTGACCTACATCGTACATTTTTTAATTTCCGAAATAGTTAACTTTGGTTAGTCTCTATCTCGTACTCTATTCGGCACGAAACAGAAATGTGACAAAGATCGTATACATTTTTCAGGTTTTAAAAGTGAAAATAGTCAAATGGGATCATTCTTTATCTCATACTCTATTCGGCAGGCGACAAAAATGTGACATACACCGTAGATTTCTCAAGTTTACAGAGTGAAAAAAAAAAACAGCTTTGATCATTCTTTATCTCGTACTCTATTCAGCACGCAGCAGAAGTGTGACATACATCGCACATTTTTCGGGTTTGCGGAGTGAAATAGTTAATTTTCGTCATTCTCTATCTCGTACTCTATTCGGCAAGCAGCAGAAGTGTAACATACATTGTAGATTTTTCAGGTTTTTAGAATAAAAATAGTACACTTTAATCCTGGCGTTCTTGATCTCGTACTCTATTCGGCACAAAAATGTGACTTACATCGTAGATTTCTGGTTTTAAGAGTGAAAAAAGTCAATTTTGATAATTCTTTAACTTGTCCTCTATTCGGCGCCCAGCAGAAATATGACAAACATCGTACATTCAGTTAGGTTTACAAAGTGAAAGAAGTCAAGTTTGATCATTCTCTGTTTCGAACTCTACACAACACGCAGCAGAAATCGGACATACATTGCACATTTTTTTAGGTTTTGAGACTGAAAATCGTCAAGTTCGATCAATCTATATCTTGTTCTCTACTGAGCACGTACGTGAATTGCGACTTATATTTTATCCAAGTTAGGCTTTTTAAAAAGAAGTAGGTTTGTTATAGATGTTATTTCCGTGTTTTGTAAAAAGTTGTAACTTTTTAACCTGATGTCTCAGGCTGTTCCTTACTCATTCTCCATTATGTTGAATGAATAACAAAGCAATTAATGAATTCGGCTTTCGTAGGATAGTGGCCTAGAAAACAACGGAACATTGCGTCTTATCTCAAAAGAAGGAGCTTGTGAACGACTACATGAGATTCATTCCTCTCCATCTGGACTCTGTAAGGTGGTTGGCTTAAATAACTTAGTAAGGAAGTTTGGTCTTCGCTTCCATTGCAATGGCATCAAGCAGTCAGCGAGAGATTTTCTAAAAGCGTGCCCTGTGTACCAAGATATACCGCCTTTTCTACCATTTCCCTTCCACTACGCCCTATCCGCTCCTACGGCCTATATGAACGGATACAGGCTGATAATGTTGATATGGCACCTGGCAAGAAGCGGTCACCGTATAAGTGGTCACTGTTTCTGACCAACAATATAGGCCAATATCCCTCTCGTACTCTATTCGGCACGCTGTATGTTAGGGGTAGAGAGCTTACAGTTTTCCTCACATCAGGGTAGGAAAGTTAAGTTACAGCATTTTCTCTCTCGTACTCTATTCGGCACGCTGTATGTTAGGGGTAGAGAGCGTACAGTTTTCTTTACATCAGGGTAGGAAACGGTTAAGTTACGGCATTTTCTCTCTCGTACTCCCTTCGGCACGCTGTATATTAGGGTTAGAGAGCGTACAGTTTTTTTTACAGGGTAGGGAAGTTAAGTTACAGCATTTTGTCTGCCGCACTCTATTCGGCACGCATTATGTTAGGGGTAAACAGCGTACTGTTTTCTTTACATCAGGGTAGGGAAGTTAAGGTGCAGCATAGTCTGTTGT